ATGTCTGGTTATCTGCAAGGCCTCTGCAGCCATATGAAGGCCCTTAGTTACGCGAGGGGCCCCTGATATAAATGGCCCCTGTTTATAAGAGGGTCCCCTGGTCACTTAGTGGAATCTGGTCGATTGAAAGTCCCCTGGTCACCTGAGGCGCCCCTGATTAACCCGCGCCACACTGGGGTCTGCGTATAACACGCCCTACTGGGGGGGGGGGCTCTCCATAGCCCCCCCCCCTCCTAACTCCGAAACTACTGGGCCGATCGTCAAAATTCAAACGGCGTCTGATAGCCCAGGAAAAACTGTCGAGCGAAGCCGGCTTGTTCACATTTTGTAGCTCTTATGTAGCCACACTCTCCAGAAGGGCCCCACGTCGGCTTCTGAGGGACCTTTGCCGGCCTCTGAGGGCCTAACTGGCCAATGAGGGATCAGTTATAAGGGCCCCACATTCGTCTGTTATGGACCCACGACCCACATCAGTGCTTCTGAGTACCCTCATAACGGCGCCTGCGAAGGCCCTCACCGCCACATCTAAGCGCCCCCCCCCCCCCAGTGCCTCACGAGGGCCCACATTTGCGGCTCTAAGAGCCCCCACACCGGCGCCTCTGAGGGCCCTCCACTAGCACATCTGACGGCATTTACCAGCGACTCTGAGGGCTTTTGACCGGCTTCTGAGGGTCCCTTGTCGGCCTATGAATAGCCACCAGTAACTTTCAGGGCCCCACACATACCTATGATGACCCCCACCAGTGTCTATAACCCTAAGGCCCCCACAACGGCGCCTGTGAGGATCCCACACCATTGCATCTGATGGTCTTTCACCCGCACCTCTGAGCGCCCCAGACCAGTGCCTCCGGAGGCCGAGGGACCCACACAGGCGACTCTGAGGCGCTCGCTCGCTATGCTCGCTCATAAGATTCTGTGCATTTTATGCATACTTTTCAGGCAAAAATGACGTTATCGCCTTCCAATTTTCCACATTTTTTAGGGCTAAGACCGTTACAGATGGGCCCGTCTGCAAGGGAGGACTGGGCCCACTGTACCCAGCCCCCCCCCCCATCGAAAGGTTCTGAGCACGCCCACTGCCTGGGTTGGCAGGGGGCCCCCGGGTGACCAGGGGGCTCCTTTGAGAGCAGGTGGCCCCCTCCTGGGCAAAATTCTGGGTACGTGCCTGCTCAACAAGAAGTTGATTAACGAGAAACCTGCTGTAGCATTCAATGAGCACTGCTATAATAATACTCTGCTTCCTTCTCACACAATTATATCTCACACAATATACCGGGCTTCTCAAAAAAAGTTAGACGGATTTCTTTTGCGAATAGAGGACCCCTAACAACATTTAAGCAAAATCAATGCACGTGGAAAAACGGAGAATTTTTCGTAGATTTATATGACACCATGATTTGAGCTTAAAAAATGAAGCCGCGGTTTTAGAAAGTAAAAGCAAAACTCGTGAAATTATGCTTTCCCAGACTAAGTCGGTCGGTTCGACACCACGGAAGATCCGCAAACAATTTAGGGCAAAGAGAGCAACATCTTGAAACAAAATTGTCCACATTATTGACAAGTTTCTGGCTCGAGGAAGTGTTAACAATAGGTTCATGCAATTCAAGGAACACAGCGGCGGCCATAAACCCAATCAAAGGCTCACGGCGAACACCACTCGTGTGAGAGATGCGCTACTCAGACTGTCAATGGTCAGCGATATTGGGTGGCTCTGGCGACGTTTTGGAGGGTTCTGCAATATCAGGATGAGCAGAGATCCGGAAACGCTTAAGATCCAATGGCTCCAGCAGGACGGTGCCACGCCAATACCGCTAAAGAAAACCGGGAGGGGCTGTGGGAGCGCTTCGGGCGGCGCGTGATCTCGAGGTTCGAGACACGCCCGTGGTCGGCGAATTCTCCGAACGTAACCCCATCGGACTTTTTCCTATAGGACCACCTTAAGTCCCAGGTGTACCGAAATCACCCAAAAAGTTCCGAAGATCACAAGGATGCAGTGAAGTCAGCGGTGTGCCGTCTGCATCTTTCCGTGGGTCGTGCTGCAGCAGAGGTCGCGCTGCGCCGGCCTAAACTGTGCATTGAGCAAAAAGGGAATCATCTCGAACATAACCTCGGCACGGCTCAGAAAGGCGACTGCCGAGGATCGAAATCCCCTCAAACGAAATGTCTTTGATGAGGCTTTTAGGTGATACCCAATTATGTTTTGTTACACTGATACACCCTTCAATACGTTAGTTATAAAATCGTCTAACTTTTTGAGAAGCCCGGTATTTGTATTTTATGGTATAAAAGTGTACGTTTTGGCCCACGACTTTTCCCATTCCCTATTCCCAATCATGCAACTGCGCTCAAACGTGTATGATGATGCGTGACCCATAGCCACTTATCCAGTCATATTGCCCCCAAAAAAACGGTAAATAACTTTTGAAAATACCCATCTCCAATTTTAGTGTTTTCTGGACTAAAATTTTGCGAGGAATCCGATAGTGTGGTCCCCGAGATCTGAAAAATTTCCACTTTGGAGATAGCACCTATTTTTTGAAAAATAAATATTCGTCAGGCATAATAGTCGAATAAATTAAAAATATAATGAATTAATTTTTGTATAACAATACTAGAATGTGTCGAACATTAATTAGAGATATATTTTAGCTGAGATGATACTATATCTGCGCAAGCATGTGCATTAACTAGTACATTAACCCCCATCGGCCGAGAAGGGGTGGGGCGGGTGCCGCCTCATAGGGTTTTTCGCGATAGCTCAAAACACGCCTAGGGTAGACAGCTGAAACTTGGCATACCTAATCTTTTATTCAAGCTGGATCTTTTGACACCAACCGAGTTTTCAGGTCAGGTCAGGTCACTGACCTATGACCTCATAAATGAGCCTCTGCGAGGTCCTCAGATGTTGCAAATTTGCAACGCCCTCAGTGTTAGAGGAACTTTCATGCAGGAAGATGCAACTTACAGGGCGTAGTATCCTTCAGAAGTCTCACAACTTGTATATCTCGGATTTAACCTAAATGTCGCATGAGGTCAGGTCGGTCACGTGACCTCACCATTATAAGTCAATGGGGGAAATATGAAAACTGTTATTTTGGCGCCGGAAATGATCTAAAACTATCCCAATCACATGGAATCGTGGTTTCATGATCGGACCTTACAAGGAGTGCATGACACCACGATTTCATGTGCTTGGGACAGTTTTAGATCCTTTCCGGTGCCAAAATTAGTCTTCATATTTCCCCCATTGACTTAGAATGGTGAGGTCACGTAACCGAACTGACCTCATGTGACCTTTGGGAAAAATCTGAGATAAACACGTTGTGAGACCTCTGGAGGATACTACAGGGTGTTTCACTAAAAGTGTCAAAAAGTAAAAGGTCATAATGCACATAATAACAATGTTTTTTAAGAAAATTTGCATATCATTTTATCCGCAATTGTTGGACATTTGAATATATAAAAACGATATCACCGTCACTCAAACCTATTCCACACATCTGCCCCTTCTTTTGATGCACCGTTTCGGCACGTGTCCGGAGGTGACTCACAGCCCGTTTTCATCTTCAGCGTCCAGACTGTCGGCAAAGCCTTGAATTGTGCTCTTCAGCTCCCGAAGTGATGCGACTTGAGTCTTCCTCAGCTCTGCGAGAGCTACTGAGTCACTGACCAAACCAGAGGCTTAGCCTTGACAGATCGGGGCTTCGCGCTGGCCAGGGGCGGGCGGCGAGGCAGCTGATTATTCGGCCCAGGAGCTTCTGGTCCAGTCAGTTCCTGGTGGCTACAGCCGTTACAGTGGTTGATTTTAATAACTTGTAAGGCCCTGGCTATTTCTGATGTTGGAATTAGCTTCTTGTTATCTTCAAAGGCCCTCAAAAAGACCCTGACCTTCTCAACGGTTTCCGCCGAGAGGTGGGGGCAACCCCGCCTTTTTTGGACTAAAACCGGCATCGAAGGAACCCTTTTAAACCTCTCAACAAGCCCTTTGAAACTTTAATAATCTGGAACGTAGCGAGGTGAGAGAGTAAAAAGTTTCTTGAAAAGTCGGCATACGGTTTCAATGTTTCTGATGGCACCAAATGTAAGTGTAATTCACCCCTCCTGTTGCGGTGTAAATAACCTGTTCTTGTTCTGCATAAGGAAAAAATGACTAGTAACTTTGTCCTCCTGCCCTCGCTCCGTATGAGTGTAAAATATATCTTAAATGGATAAATTTTAAATGTCCAAAAATTTGCAACAAAGCCACGTGCGCAGCCACGTGATTTGCATATTCTATATATCTTTAATAAGCATTTACTTTTTGACACTTTTAGTGAAACACCCTGTAGGTCCTGTAAGTTTCATCTTCCTGTGAAAGTTCCTCTGGCACTGAGGGCGTTGCAAAGTTGCAACATCTGAGGACCGTGCAGAGGCTCATTTATGACGTCATAGGTCAGTGACCTGACCTGACCTGAAAGGGTGGTTGGTGTCAAAAGATCCAGCTTGAATAAAAGATTAGGTATGCCAAGTTTCAGCTGTCTTATCATCCTCAGCGTGTTTTGAGCTATCGCGAAAAACCCTATGAGACGGCACCCGCCCCACCCCTTCTCGGCCGGCAAGGGTTAATGTACTAGTTTATGTACATGTATGAACAGATATAATATCATTGCAGATAAAATATATCACTAATTTATGTTCGACACATTCTTACGTTGTTAAAAATATTCACTCATTATATTTTCAATTTATTTGACTTTTATGCATGACGAATATTTTTTTTTTTCAAAAATAGGTGCTATCTCCAAAATGGAAATTTTTCAGATTTCGGGGACCACACCATCGGATTCCTCGCACAATTTTGGTTCAGAAAACACTAATATTGGAGATGGGTATTTTCAAAAGTTATTTACCGTCTGCTGGGGCAATGTGCAGTAAAAACATTATTAGTCGAGTACCTGATGTGCTGTTGCGCTGCCTGCGATGCCCTGTATGCTAACCCGTGTATTGCTGCCGTCCGCCAGGCCGCATGTCGGACCGGGATCTACCAGTGCGCCTGCTAGCGTCGCGCACGTTCGCATCCATCATTCAGCTGATGCCGCTGGAGCCAGGATGCCCTGGCGGCGACGCAGTGCCGTCGCCGCTCAACCAACAAAAGGTGGCAGAGCGCTGCTTCTTGGACCAGCTGATGGACCCTTCGTGTATCGAGGATGTTCCGGTGCCGGCAGGGGTGCGCGCCCAGCTACGGCCCTACCAGCGCCGCGGCGTCAGCTGGCTGGCATTCCTCAATAAGTACCATCTGCACGGTGTGCTCTGCGACGACATGGGGTTGGGCAAGTCGCTGCAGTCGCTGTGTATGATAGTGGCCGACCATGCTGCGCGCCGTGAGCAGTTTGAGCGTTCGGGCGCTACCGAGGACGCGCCAAGGCCGTCTCTTATTGTTTGCCCTCCGACTCTCACTGGTCACTGGATGTACGAGGTAGACAAGTTCGTAGAGCCATCTGAGCTGCGACCGCTTCACTACTTCGGACTACCGGCCGAACGCAGCCGGCTACAAGTACGCTTACCCAATCACAACTTGGTGATATCCTCATACGATATCGTGCGTAACGATATCGACTTTTTCGTCAATGTCAAGTGGAACTACTGTGTCTTGGACGAGGGCCACATTATCAAAAACGGAAAAACCAAGGTGGCCAAGGCGATCAAGCAGCTGGACTCCCGTCGGCGTCTGATCCTGACGGGCACGCCACTACAGAACTCAGTTCTGGAGCTGTGGTCATTGTTTGACTTTTTGATGCCCGGCTTCCTGGGCACGGAGCGCCAGTTCACGACCCGCTACAGTCGGCCGATTCTGCTGAGCCGGGACGCCAAGGCCAACTCGCGTGAACAGGAGGCCGGTGCGCTGGCAATGGAGGCCCTTCACCGCCAGGTGCTGCCGTTTCTGCTGCGGAGACTCAAAGAGGACGTGCTCGAGGACCTGCCGCCCAAGATCACGCAGGACTACTACTGTGAGCTGTCGGACATCCAGAAGCAGCTTTACGAGGATTTTGCGCGTTCGCGGGCTCAGCGGTCACTGGTGGAGGGTTTGGAGAGTGTCGAGAACCGTCGCGGCGTTGAGCGAGCGCCACCACACGTGTTCCAGGCACTCCAGTACCTGCGCAAAGTTTGCAATCATCCTAAGCTGGTGCTCACCAAACAGCATCCGAGCTACGCCCAGGTACAAAAAACGCTGTGTGAACAAGGCAGCAGTCTGGAGCAGATCGATCATTCTGCCAAATTGGTGGCGCTGAAGCAACTGCTCCTTGACCTGGGCATTGGTGAGGAGGATGGCATGCCAACAGCCAGCTCTGAGGTGGTGCACCCGCATCGCGTGCTCATCTTCTGCCAACTGAGGTCGATGCTAGACATGGTGGAGCATGATTTGCTGCAAGGCCATCTGTCTGGCGTCACCTACCTGCGCCTGGATGGCTCGGTGCCGGCCGGCGAGAGGCACGCACTCGTTCACCGGTTCAACAGCGACCCGAGCATCGACTGCCTGCTGCTGACCACTCAGGTGGGCGGCCTAGGTCTCAACCTGGTCGGAGCCGACACTGTCATATTTGTGGAGCACGACTGGAACCCGATGAAGGACCTGCAAGCAATGGATCGCGCACATCGGATCGGCCAGCGCCGTGTCGTCAACGTGTACCGGCTCATTACGCGCGGCACGCTCGAGGAGAAAATCATGGGTCTGCAAAAGTTCAAGCTGTTGACTGCCAACACGGTGATCACTGCGGAGAACAGCAGCTTATTGACCATGGGCACCGACCAGGTGGGTCAGATGGGGCCGGACTGGGGGAAGGGGAGGGGGGCTCAGATGGGGACGAACCACGTATGTAAGGCTGGTCAGGTGGGCGCAAGTTAAGTGGAGATGGACCAGGTGGGTCAGATCATCAGATGGGGCCAGACCCAGGGCGTAACTTCATATACTATTGGGGTGACAGGTGCCCCACCCCAGCCCCACGAGCCGCTGGGGCATAAAGTTGCCCCCCTTTACGTTTTGTGGAATACCTCCGAAACCTGATGAGCTACGAACGTGACACTTGGCATAGCTTCAAATGAATACTTAGGCAATGTTTGAGGAAAGTTTGGTGGCTGTAGTACTTAAGATGACGTCACAGTGACGTCATAACGTTTTGTCGTTTTCCGATATGGACCGTTCCTGATGTCGCTGAGCATGAAACTCAACTGTAAATGACCTATACAGCGCCTCTGTCATCCTTAAACATCTAAGTACACTTCCAACTAGTTCCTGACCAATAGTTAATCGGTCCTTTATATTCGGTCTTATACATCGGATATAACCATCGTGAGGAAACTGAGAGTCGCAAATCTATAATTTGACTGCTGACGTCACTGTGACGTCACTTCAAATGGGATCGACACCAAATTTGGACAAAACCTCGGCTAGGTATTCAGGAAGAAGTGTGCAAAGTTTCGCTTCTCTATCTCTTCGCGTTGTGACGATATCGTCGCTGAAGTAAATGGGGGGGGGCAACTATATGCCCCCCAGCGGCCGGCGGGTGGCGCGGAGGCCCAGCGACCGCCGGGTTAAATTATGTCATCCCAACATCCCGTTTGCCACCCCAACTTTTGGCGGGCGCCCCTAGGCCCGAAAGGCGTCCTCAGGGGCCAGGGGCGTCACAATGCTCAACAGAGTGGTTCGAAAAAATAAACCGACAGGTGGCGCCATTGCTTAACCCGGCAGGCGGTGGGCCTCCCGGCCACCTTCCGCGCGGTTGGGGGGGGGGACATTTTTTGCCCCCCCCCCCGTATCTCCGAAACTACTGGACGGATCCGGAAAATTCAAACAGCTTCGATAGCCCTGTCAAATTTGTCGAGGTAAACCAAATTTTATTGAACTCGGGGTCACCGATGACGTCACAGGTCAGGTCAAAGATAAAATGTCTCACCGTTCACGGGTCTTCTAGGGAATGCGCTATAACACCGATTAAAACGCATTTTGTTGAAAATCAGCGATAGGGCGTCAGTTGTCTAGTACATATGTTGCTATTAGAAGTCACTGGTCATACCAGGTCAGGTCACAGGTCAGGTCACCAAGGATCACCACATGAACCCAACTTAACTAAGGTTGTGCGATGCATGTTTTATGGCCAATTTTTCATTTCCAACTCAATGGTGTTGGCGATAAGACCATCAGGTACGGTGTAGGTCACTTTCTGGTGGAGGTCAGGTCAAGGTCAGGTAAAAAAAAAGATCAAATTTCAAAGTTGATAGTTTTGCATAAAATGGGCATTGATTCGATGCAAGTTGATAAAAATTGAGTTTGAAAATTTGAGGTCATCAATTTTGAACAGTTTTTTCGCTTTAACCCGCGCCCTGCTGGGGGGGGTGTTTGAACACCCCCCCCTTGTGTTTTTTTGCGAATATCTCAAAAACGGCGGCGCTGAGCGCCGCCGTTTTTGGTATACCTTATCATACATCAATTCTACACATGTTGTGAAAATTTCAGACCAAGGTCATTCAAGGTCAGGTCACCAGGTCACTTGAAGTGACCTCACCTCATAAAAAGTTTAAATGTCTTTCATAGCTACACCGAGTGACCGATCGCTTTGAAACTGTAGAAAACCGAGCCACCTCTCACACGCTGTATTCCTTACGTCATCGTGTCGCGGCGCCAACTGCCGCCGCGCGCCCGAGCCCGGCCGGTGGTCCACAGTGCACACACAGCTGTGCGCCATAAAACTAGCGCCGCAGGCGCAGGAAATGCGGCCCGCCGGTCCCACGGCCTCGGCGCGCCCACACAAACACGGTCATAAGCACACACGCACAATACACACACAAGGCACGCTACGTTCTACTAATTCATAACACAATTCTATTACACTCCCCCCTGATTTATAAATCACCATACTGCGTCAGTGTAGCGGGACGCCGCTCCCGCGTGCTCCTGCGAGCAGCTGCCGATTCCTCGCCATCGTGCGAGGCCCCCTCCGACTCGCCTCGAGCCGCAGCGTCGGGAGTGACACGCTGCTCATAAAAGATAATTGGGGCGCCCTCGTCGTCACTCTCACTGATCGGCGGACTCCTGCCCTCGGCCGGCTGTGGGAGAACGGCCAGCCTCAGGTCCCGCACATGGCGCGGCACTCCATCCACCTCAACACACTGTACAGACACAATACGGCTCACCGTCCCAAGTGAACTGGCCACGTCACAGCGGCGGCTCGGGTCCCTGACCCAAACCTTGTCCCCGACCGTAAAGCGGCTGATATCGGCATCAGCTGGCGTGTCTACATCTGGGACTTTCACTCGGTAATTAAACAGCGTTTCCATGGGGCTGGAGCTCTGATCCTCCGCGCGTGGCATCACGTTATAGCGATACACCGCCTCCACCACCGAACACTTCTTTCTGGCCGCTAACGTTTTGATGGAGCGGTGGTTGCGCTCCGAGATGCCGTTACCGGACGGGACATGAGCTGCTCGGTATCGAACGGAGACTCCCCACCGACTGACGAACTCATTGAACACGGCACTTCGAAACGATGGATAGTTATCCGTCAGCAGCTCAGTGGGAGCGCCTCGCTCCAGGAAGATTGACTCGAGCTGCGCGATGACACTCTCAGCGTCCTGTCGCTTTAGGCGCCTCCAGATCGCGTAGCGAGACGGCCCACAATCCACTAGGGTCAGGTAGAGTTGATTGTCGGCGTGGCAGACGTCCATGCTCACTCTTTCCCAGCACTCGTTCACCCCTAGCGTGCCGCGCACCCAGCGCTTCGGCGCAGGGTCGACCGATTGGCACGCCTGACACTGGCGGATCACGGCACGCACCTGAGCTCTGGTGACGTCAGAGCTCTGCCTCCTGCATAGTCTCAGGGTTCGTGTGATGCCAGGATGGCCGCTGGTGTGGTGAATCCGTGCGATGTCGGGCTCTGTGACGACGGCACCGCACACCATCGACGCGCCCTGCGGGGTCAGCCACTTTTTTTGGCACTCTCGTGAGCGCGTCGGCCCGGTTCTCAGCCGATGGGACGAATTTCACGCAGAGTTGCATGGCATATTCTTCACCCAGCTTCTTCACTGTCTCAAGACGTCTCCGAATTAGCATCTCGCTCGCTGCCTTGGTTTTTACACGGGCTCTGCCAGACAGGACGTCGGACAGCCAGTGATAGACGGTTCGCGAGTCGGTCATGATCGTCACATTCTTCAAATTCCAGGACAGTGCCAGATTGAGCCCTCGAATCACAGCATCTAGCTCTGCGAGATTGATGTGGGTGTCCGAGCTCTTCCGCAGCCAGCAGGCGTCTTCAACGACGCAGTCGTTGATCTCCAGCACGGCCCCGATGGCGAGGGAGCTGGCATCGACCCACACCACACCTCCGCCGTCTCCAGAGACATCCCACCGGCCCCGCGCGGGGTCAGATGTGTTCACACGCTCCACCATCTCAATGACCATTGCACAGAGCTCCGGGTCAGTGACCTCGTCATCCCATCCACTGGACACAGCGGTGACACGCCTCTTCAGATATGACGCGGCCACGCGGAGCCAGCCGGCCACAGGAACAAGACTGGTGAGTCGTCCGCACAGAGAGAAGACTGCCCGTCTCGTCAGTTTAGGGGGCGGGCTGATGTCGGTTCTGTCACGCCTCCAGCACAGCCCGTCTCGCTCCCCCCAGACCCTTAGGCCAAGCACACGGGCACCATCGATCACACTTTCTGGCGCTTTGCAGTCCAAGCCATGGTTCTCGAGATGGGCCTTCACTTCAGCTGCGGTGGCGACCTCCTCATTCACAAATATGTCATCGACGTAGGAGGATGTCGCGCTGTCTATTCTCTGGTCCAGCCCGAGAGCCATGCTGAGCACTTTTTTCATCACCAGCGGCGCACAGCCGATTCCAAACCCTAGTCTCGTCAGACACCACCTTTTGCCCTGAAACACAACAGTCTGGTAGGGCCACAGAGACTTGCTCACATGCACCTGCAGGTAGGCGTCTTTGAGATCCAGAAGCGACACGTTCCGTCCGAACCGGCGCCACTCGCGAATTTTCTCGCTACACACGTCTGCGGCAGCCGTATGCGAGTCCAAATACTCATTCAGCTCTCTGAAGTCCATGACCGGGCGCACTTTGTCTTTGTTCGGCTGAATCACCGCCATCAGCGGTATTGTGCCCTTTGCCTGTCCGTGGACACGCTCGTCATAGGGAACAAGCCATCCGTTTGTCACCCACTTTGTGAGCTGTCGCTCATACTCCTGCCTGGCCTCTGATGGTATTGAGTACTCCTCCGCTTTGTTGAACAACTGTCCTGGCTCATCCCCACACCATTTCAATTGCACAGACCACTTTTTCTGGCTCTCATCGTAGCTCACAATAAAGTCCTTCTCCTCCTCGCGCCATATACCCGCCGCCGCCTCCGGCGCCGCCATTGCCCGCGTCTCGGTCACTGTCAGGGCCCCAATTGCCGCTGACCCAGATTCCGCCGCCTCGGTGGGTGCAGTCGACTCGGCCAGTGCCGCCGTCTCAGCTGCCACGGGCGCCGCCTCAGGCACCCGTCTCTCAGCCACCGCCGCCGTCCCTGCTGCCGCCGGCGCCGTCTCGGGCGCCCGTCTCTCGGCCACCGCCGCCGCCCCTGCTGCCGCCGGCGCCGTCTCGGGCACCCGTCTCTCGGCCACCGCCGCCACCCCGGTCGTTTCAGCTCCGAACCTCACATGGTTCTCCGCACTCACCGTCACGCCACCCAGTGCACTCACGCCGTTCATCCCCAGGATAAACTCAAAGCCCAGCGGCTTCCGTGACACCACAAGCACGCGCACTGATACCGATTCGCCAGATTGCGATCGCACCTCCACGACACCCGTTCCCTCGCACCAGTATCGGTCACCGCTCACCGTCATCACGCTCACTGCGTCTCGATTCCAATTTCGACACACCGACACGTGCGCTACACACAAGCTGCATCCCGTGTCCAGCAGGGCGTCACAGGTGGCGCCGTCCACCGATACTCGCACAACGGGCAGCGCCCCGCTCACTGGAGACCGGGAGAGGAGGCTGGCGCCGAGCCCTCCTCTCCGCCGTCGTTTTCCGGACAGGACGAGGCGATATGACCGGGCCGGTTGCAGCGGAAGCAGCGCACACTGCGCCGACCGCCGCGGGCCCCGCCGCGCTCCCGCTGACCGCGAGCAGCGAGACAATCCCGCGACAGGTGGTTGGGCTGTCCGCATGAGTGACAGGTCACGAGGGGTGGCGCCGCCGACGTCCGCGCTGCTGCTCCCGTCGCTCCTGCCATGGCAGTCTCTTCTTCATCGGCGAGCACAGCTCGGGCCCGGCTGATTAGCTCGCTCAGCGTCATGCTTTCGACGCGGCTTCCTGCACGAAGATCTTTGTGGGTCAGCTGGATACCGTGGCTCCGCTGAGGCGTGTACGCGACAGGCAATGTACTGCGCCCCCTGTCACGGCCGAAACTCAGCAGCTGATGCGGCGCCGCCGAGCAGCCCTCAGCGCGGGCGGCCGCGCCGAGTATAAGCAGCTGAACCGCCAGTGCCGCTCGGCTGTGCGTAGAGAGAGTCGAGAGCGGTACGAGAGGGAGATCGCGCGTGGTGATCGCGGTGGGCTGTGGCGAGTGTTACGACCTGTAATTGGCTCGAAAAAGCAGCAGTGCGAGATACCGAGCATAACCGCTGACGCACTGAATGACTATTTCGTGTCAGTGGGGCCTACCACTGCTGCTAGTGTGCCACCTCCGACCGCAAACGTGCCTACCCGGCTCCCGCGAGTGTCAACATGCTCTTTTTGTGTGGAAACGGTGGACGCAGACACGCTATATACCGTGCTTCTATCTATGAAACCGTCCAATTCAACTGGAGACGATGGCATTAGTGTGAGCATGTTGCAGAAGTTTTTCCACGGCGTAAGACATGCGTTACTAGATGTTGTCAACTTCAGTTTGATCTCTGGTGTGGTCCCACGAGCGTGGAAACATGCGCTGGTGACACCTATCCCTAAAGGAAAGGTTACAACCAAGCCGTCCGATACACGCCCCATTTCTATTCTTCCGGCTATTATGAAGCTCGTAGAACGCACTGTTCAGACCCAATTAACAACGTACTTAGAAGAAAATCATCTTCTTGCTGATGCCCAACACGGTTACAGGAAGCAGCGGTCTACAGAAACCGCGCTTCACGTAATAACTGATAGGGTTCTTCACGCAATGGAAAACGGCAACATATCAATTTTGGTCTTATTGGATTTGTCCAAATGTTTTGATGTAGTACCACATCAAAATTTACTTCGAAAACTTGCACTGTATGGCATTGACACGAAATGGTTCAGCAGTTATTTGTCTGATCACACTCAGCAGGTTAGGCTGTGTGCCGGTAAAGGACGGAACGTACTGTCGCGCTCACGAGAAAATAACATTGGTGTTTTTCAAGGCGGAGCGCTATCATGCGTCATGTACATGTTGTATGCCAACGACCTCAGCCTCAGTGTCTCAGATGATGTAACAATTGTCCAGTATGCAGACGATACACAGCTGTTGGTCAGCGGAAAGAAACGTGACGTGCAGCGAATGGTGGTCTGTATGGAGAACGCCTTACACCGTATGTATCAGTGGTTTTGTGCTAACGGCATGATGCTTAACACAGCTAAGACACAAATGGTCGTATTAGGTACACCAGCGATGCTGCGCGACCTGCCCTTAGTCTCCCTTCACTTTTGTGGCACTGTTGTTGCTGAGTCGCGAGCCGCCAAGAACCTGGGTGTTTACGTTGACCGCCATCTCAACTATGAAACGCACATCGACAATGTAACTAGAAGGTGCACGGGCATTCTTATTGCTCTGACTCATGCACGTCACGTGATCCCAAGAGTGACACTGAAATCCATTGTCGAGGCACTTGTCCTTTCCGTGTTACGGTATTGTTTGTCAGTGTATGGTTCGTGTGGCATGACGCAGCTTCGACGTGTACAAAAGCTTGTCAACTTCTGCGTTCGAGTAGTGACGGGCAAGAGGCGATATGACCATGTATCTCAGTCCCTGGAACAACTGCAGTGGCTCACTGCTGAGCAGCTTGTGATATATCACACTGTGTGTGCGGTCGAGCGGGTTATAGTTTCAGGGCAGCCTGAAAGCATCATGGCGACTATTGGTCTGCGGACTGATCAGCGCCACAGCCATAACACGAGGCAGGCCAGCCTGTACACGCTCCCGACTATCCGAACTGAGGCAGGGAGGAGACGGCTGTGCTACCGAGGAGTAGGGCTACTGAACAGTGTCGGTGTGGAGCCCGGAACGTGCGGGTTCCGTTCTGCGGTCAGACGCGCTGTTAAGTCGCAGTAGGGTATACCTGACTTCATCATGTGCGTGATTGTAGCTGCCAGCTGGTATGTCTGTTTCGCCGTGTCCACAATGTTTTAATTCGCTTACGTGAACTAGTGAAAAGCCATTGTTTTATAATGGATCTTGTTCGAATACATCTATCTATCTATCTAAGAAGCACACGGCGGGTGGTCTCCGGCAGTTTTGCCACGAACGCGCAGGCTAGGCCGCCGTCTGACATACCGCCAAACAGGCCGGACAGGCGACGCAGCTCTGCAACGAAGACATCCACCGGCTCACCTCGACGGAGCTTCATCTTCTCAAACCGGTCATAGGCGTCAAACTTATCCTCTGCGAAAGCCGAAATCAGGCCATTTTTGATGGTCTCGTAGCCAGCCTTGTCCTGCTCGTCCAGCTGCTGATAGACAGCGAACGCCCCGCCAGTTAGGCGGAGGGGAACGACGACGTGCAGCGCGTCGATGCCACGTAGACGGCACACCAGCTCCACCTTCTCCAGCCACTCTGTGACAGGCTGAGTCGCTCCGTCGAACTCAGGTATGAGTCGGAGATCGGCTGCAGCGTCCGCCGTACTCGCCGGCTTCACTCCACTCTCAGGCGCACTTTTCTCGTCCTTCATGGCTCTTACTCTCTGTCTCTCACACAAAGCCGAAATAGCTTGTAGAAAACCGAGCCACCTCTCACACGCTGTATTCCTTACGTCATCGTGTCGCGGCGCCAACTGCCGCCGCGCGCCCGAGCCCGGCCGGTGGTCCACAGTGCACACACAGCTGTGCGCCATAAAACTAGCGCCGCAGGCGCAGGAAATGCGGCCCGCCGGTCCCACGGCCTCGGCGCGCCCACACAAACACGGTCATAAGCACACACGCACAATACACACACAAGGCACGCTACGTTCTACTAATTCATAACACAATTCTATTACAGAAACTTTCAGCGATTGCTAAGAGCAATAGCATGTACAAAATGTATATCTCAGAATTTTTATATCGATGACCTAAGTTCAGGTCAATTTTGCGACCTCCCCATTATAAGTCAATGGGAGAAAATTGAAATGCGCCTCTTTTGGACGAAAGACATTATAAACACTCCCAAACACCGAATTACAAGTGGTTTAGACACACTGAACATGAAAATGGTGTCCGTGACCCTTGTTTATGCCCTGAGGTCATCTTAGGTCACGAATGGTATCTAACAGTTTTTTTTTCGCAAATAAATTTTGATAGAGGCATGCTATAGCGATGAAAACACCTTAGATGTGTTAAGCTCGACGATACGGATCGACTGATATGCAACATGACCCTTTCCGGTCAGGTCATGACCTTGACCTGAGGTCAAATTTTCAAGTTGACCTTTCAAGGTCAAGTTATAGTTCATTCGATGCGTCTTGACGAGAGGAACACGATGCCGGTATAAGTAAGCTCGTACAGGGCTTGGGTCAAAAGTTATTGCAGAAAAACTGTTTCCGAAAAAATCGGCTATTTTTGCAGTTTTTGCCCCCTGCAGGCAAAACCGTTGACGTTAGGTCAAATCTGAGATAATTGATCAGAAAGGGCGTTAATATGGCTATCGAATGCGCTTTTCCGCGGCGCTGTAGCTCTATTGGTTCCCGAGTTATGCGTTGGCTTCTTGGAAATTGTCGACATTCGACCTGGAAATCGGCGAAATTTTGCCTTCAATGACCTCTGGTGACCTGACCTTTGACCTGATCAAAAAATTGACCGAAGTGGTTTCGTCATTATTTTTGGCGCTCTTTTGAACACCGCCTTCCGCGTATCGCTACGTGGCCCAGGAGCAGAGTTACAAGGGGGGGTGTTCAAACACCCCCCCCCCCCAGCAGGGCGTGGAAATCCAGGACCCCCAGCCGGGCGCGGGTTAACTGGGCGAAAAAATGGTATCGGTCTCAAATTTGGTATGTTGATAGAAGGCGGTAGGGACTATCACATATATTCCGTTTTTTTTCGAAATTCATTTTTTTCTGGATTTTTCGGCTTTTATATTCAAAAAATCTGTTTTTGTTTTTTTAGGGGACAAAATCCAAAAAAAAATCCGACATAGCAGTTTTGTAGCCCTGTTAATTCTACACCTTTTTTGTCTAAACCGTTTTTCTGTATCTCTAAGGCTGTATGGGAGGTTGCCGTTGGGGTTATTTGACCGTTTTTTTTTTTTAGAAAACGATTTAACTTAAAATTGACGACAAATTTTTTGCATTTTCTCAACGCTGGCAGGTGTCGCATTCATTTTACTCTACTGGACAGTGAACTTGAAATGATAGAGTAATAATATTGTAATTGTGACGCATTACAAAGGCCTGCAAGGCGGCCAAATTGCCCCACTAGCAGGGTTATTTGGCCGGGGTGGGGCAATTTGGCCGGTGTTAGTTTGCGGTCGGGATTTTCTGTTATATTGCCAGTCAGCCTCAGATTCCGCAATGACGTGTGTCCTATGACGCATTTACCGCATTTTTGAGGTTGACTCAGGGGTCACAGGGGTCAAACAAGCTGGAGTGGTATGGCATCTCTTCCCGCTGGTTCAGCAGCTACCTATCCAGCCGTTCTCAGATCGTCCGCGGCGGCACTCTTCAACTCCCTCTAACCCATGGTGTTCCTCAGGGGTCTATAGTCGGCCCAATCCTCTTCCTCATCTTTGTCAACGACCTATCATGTTTCGTACCCCATGGCGGACTCCTATCCTACGCAGACGACACCCAGATCCTTGACTCAACACCCTCTAAACCTAGTGAACTCCAATCCTTGAAATCCCGGGTCGAGGAGAACATCCGGACGTTGCCGGTTTGGTTTAGTTCTAACGGTTTGAAAATGAATGCTGAAAAAAACATGCTTCACTATTTTGGGTACGCCGCACTCTGTCTCTAAATCAGCAGACTTCGTTTTAAAAGTGGATGGTATGGACTTTCGGCCTCGAAATCACATTAAAATCCTGGGTGTTCTCTTCGACCAGACGCTGAGCTGGGAGGCACACATCTCATCCTTGGTCCGCCGCCTAAACACAATCCTCATATATCTATACAAAATCCGTCATTTTCTCTCTCCCAACATTCTCAAGATCCTTGTCCTTGCCCACGTTTTTCCTCAACTCCAGTACTGTTCGTCAGTCTGGGGTGGTGCTACCAACTCCCGTCTCGACAGGCTGCAGAAAGTCATCCACTTTGCAGCTAGGCTGGTCTCAGGTCTCCGCCGCTACGACCACGTCGGCCCCGCTCTCGCCGCGCTCGGCTGGCCGGACATTCAGGAGGTCATTGCGCGCCGTGACGCTCTGAACGTGTACAGGGTGTCCCGAAATTGATGCGCGGTTGTTTTATCCTCAATAACTTATAAAGTGCTCGAATTTACTTCACGGCTTATGGGGCATTCCACGTCAAATCAAACACCGAAATCCGTCATCCCCTTCGATTTTTCTGAAAATTTGTAGGCAGACTGGGCATAGTTCAAAACTGAGTTCAGAGTTACGTATAATATTTTCGAAATTTGATAACGTATCGCCGAGATATAGGTCATCGAATATAGCCAAAAATGCCAGACATCGTTTTTTTTAAATGCTTATAACTCTGGTTCCTTTTCTGGTATCAAAATGATATTAACAGGGTCTTGTAGGCAATTGATAAGGCTTTGATTTTTAATTATAAAATTAAATTGAAGTGACCTTAAAATGCATTTGACCTTGAATTAAAACAGAAAAATTTAAATAGCAAAAAACACGCCACCTTCGATTTGAGTAATTTTTACATATTATGTCCGTCACAATGTTCCTAACCATCTGTGAAAAAAATTGGAGTGGGCCATTCATAACTTTCGCGGCAAACGCCGTTTTCATGCATCAACATCACGCAACCGCGCGTGACCTTGAAAGACAGAGTCAAGACATGCTTGCTTGTGTACACTTTCTGAAATGAATGATTGCTGATTAGTGATATCCCAAACTCTGCGAGAATGGAAATGCATAGTCATCGTAGTCAAGCATTCACGTTCCATTGTAAAAGTGTCTCAGGCAAACGGTATTTTGCGGTGAATTTTGAGCCGTGTGGAAATGCATCATGACATAAATTCAACGAAAACATTATCACGCAACGATATCTTCACGTCTTTTGATCTTCACTATACGAAAGAACATACATTTTTGAGTATGTATGGGGAATTTCTAGTTAATCCGATAATAAATATGGCAGTTAGAGTCCTGCTAAGAGTAACATGTCGCCGGCTGAGGCGGGATCGGCCGACGCGGGAAACGCAGCAGTCACAATTTTGTGTTTACACGTTCATATTTCAATTGTTTACCAACCTATTTTCAGAATTCTTTCACCATAAGATTGCCTGTACATTTCTTAGTCTTCTCACAAAATTTGACGCGAATCGAACGTAATCAGCGGTAAGGAGCGCGATGTAAAGACGGAACCGTTCCGTTCCGTCCCGGCAGTCTACAATTCAGGCGGCGCGTAGAGGTCGGCGCCGGCTGCCGAGTCGCCGCGTCGCCGCGGCGACAGGATGTTCACTTTACACCGCTATTACTAGAACAGTTGTGAACCGATTTTCTTATTGCTTGCACGATGAGATGTGCAATTCAATTCTGGACAGGTAGCCATAAGTAATTTCGCATCAATATTATGAGATATTGGCGAAAAACAGGAGGGGTGGGGCGAAATTCACTCTTCCCCCTACACTGCGCGTGCTAACATGCGTTTGCATATGTGCCATTTTCTTCAAAACCTATGAATGGCCCACTCTAATTTTTTCACAGGTTGTTAAGAATATGGTAGGCAATAAAATATATGAAAATGAGCCAAATCGAAGGTGGCGTGTTTTTTGCTATTTCAATTTTTGTGCTTAAGAACAGAGTTAAGCAAATTTCAAGGTCATATATTTAAGTCGATGCAATTCTAAACAAATGCTTAAGAAATTACCTAAACAGTAAGGTTTATTTCATTCAAATCAAACAAGTACAACCAAAGTTATGGTCGTTCAAAAATATAAAGATGCAACATTTTGTAAAAATTTAATGCCCTATATTTAGAAGACCTGTGGTCAGAATGTGCAAAAAACATCAATGTAATGTCCGGGGCGACACAGGAACTCGCTCACAAATTTATAATGAAATCGCTGATGGTAAGGTGCAAACAGCCGATTTTTGTTCGATTTGACGTGGAATGCCCCTTATACATATGTTATCATAGTCCCCATTCAGTTGCATACACGGCCTAGTGCACTCTAGCGTGTCACGTTTTAGGTTGTCAGGAGTCTCTCCTTTGAAACAACGCCATGCCGTTTATATCTCCTGAAACAGCCTCTTCTCTGAGCTAGCCCGTGGAAGCTTGCTGAGCTCTTTTCTGACGATCGTCCAGATAATTTGGATCAGGGACAGGTCCAGACTGTTGCCAGACCATGTCCCCTTCTCCCAGAGGCCTGGGAGCCTCGCTCGGCACCAGTCCTGGGTCTTCCTGGCGTGATAAGCTGGAGCCCTTTCTTGCTGGAAAATGGCCCTGGACATATCCGACAAAAGTTTGACTCTGGTTTTTGAACCATTTACCTTTTCCCTCAGCATCTATGTGGCATCAGTCTTCTTCAGCACCTCGTTGACATAATAATTAGCGTTAAGGTTGCTAAGTGAGTCCGGGCGGAGCTATAGTTCGGTGTTTTGGCATTGGCTGGCCTCGACCCCTGGCCCCTTCCTGGGCTCTTCTGAAAGACGCCCTAGAAAGAACAGAGGGAG